ACATGTTCAGAGGAGGGACAGTGGTTTGGACATGTCCAGAGGAGGGACAGGGGTTTGAACATGTCCAGAGGAGGGACAGTGGTTTGGAATGTCCAGAGGAGGGACAGTGGGTATACTGGTAGAAGGATGTTAGAAATGCAGCTGCAGGAAAAAGACAGAGGAGACATATGGATGCAGTTAGAGAGGACATGGAGGTAGTTGGACAGAGGACAGAGTGAGATGGAGGAGGAGGACAAAATGTGGAGACCCCTGAAGAGGGAAAAGCCAAAAGAAGAAGGTGGATGTTAGAGTCATATTTTCATTTTTCTGAGATATTTATTTTTGCAGTTCCACACAAACAACTTACAACAAACTTTGTTCAACAAATGAATAAACAAAATAAATGGAAACTGTGCAAATCAAAAATAATGTAATTGTTATTTTAACCCATGTTAAATGTCTGTTCTTTATGGGAAGGACAGTTTAGAGAAGGTGAGTCTGTGACCTGGAGGTCGCCGGTTCAAATCCTTACACTGTTACATTAAAAAGTGGGTGCAAAAGATGAAGTTCTTACCTTTGCACCCTCCACCCTCATTTGTCCCACTCAAGACCCTTGAGCAAGGCCTTGTTCTGTTTGTTATTAAGTAAATTATTTAATTAAATTTAATAATTAATGTTTATTTGTCTCTATGTGTCCCTGTGATGGACTGGAGACCTGTCCAGGTGTCCTCTGCCTCTCGCACAGTGACTGCGGGACATGGGCACCAGTGACCCCCGCAACTTGAAAAGGAAGAAGCGGGTAAAGATGATCGATAGATGGATTGATCGATTACATTATCTTGGAAGGCTTGCCCAGACCCCCTACCTCCTGAATGGTGCACGCTCACCTCTAATTCTGGCTCCCAGTTTTTCCATGTTTGTAATTAGTTTTAATGTTGATCCTACAGGAAGAATTTTAATCTTTTTATTAGCAATGAAGAATCGTTTGAACTGAAACTTTTTGCTGCATTTTGGTGAAGTTTGCAATATTTACAATATTTTTTCATTCAATTATTAAAATTGTAATAATCTGTACCACGAGCATCAGAAGCATCTGTAATGTGTGTGTGTGTGTGTGTGTGTGTGTGGGGGGGCATGTCCCCTTCACATACAATGGTTGCGATGCCTATGATCCGTACAGTAAGACCCATTTTAGGTGAAAGTTTTTTTATATAAAAAAACATAAAAGTTTACAATAATGGAACTAAAATTTAGGGGAAACCGTTTTTTTTAATAGCTCTGCAGTGGGAGTGGACTTTACTGCGGAATTTGTTTGTGTTTAGTATTTTAATTTTATTAAAAATTCAGCACCTTCATGACCCAGCTGGGTCTGTTTCAGCTGTTGGACAGATCAGTTTTAGTTTGTTCTGGAACTGAAAGAAGGTGGACTTCCTGTCAGAACATTTCTATTTAATATTTATTCTTTCTTTTCAGACCTCCAACAGGAACCAGTCCAAAGGCCGGAACTGAGACCCACAGACCACAAGTTCTTCAACCAGGACAGGAACTCCAGCCAGGATCAGGAAGAATCAAAACCAGAACCTCTACGTTTCAAAGAAGAAGAGCAGGAATTCTGCACCAATCAGGAGGAAGATCAGCTCCACCTGAAGCAGGAGGCTGATCTGTTTATAGTGACCACTTTGCTTGAAGAACCTGACCACAGTGAAGCAGAACCAGACAGGGAGCAGCTCATCTCTCAGATTTCTGCTAGACCTGAGGACCAGGATTTAGGGTCAGTTGAAAATTCAGAGTGGTCACCAAAAGAGATGGATCATACGGATGGTTGTCATGGTAACAAAGCAGACCAACCAGCAACATCTCAGAAGTTGTTTTCTTGTCACATCTGTGGAGAAACTTTTACAGAGAATTTACTTTGGATCCGTCACATCAAGGTCCACAAAGTTAAGAGCCAGAACTCTGAAAGAGTGCAGTACTGTTGTCCCACCTGTGGGAAAAACTTCTCTGCTTATAATAAGTTGATCATCCACATGAGAAGCCACACAGGAGAGAAGCCTTTTTCTTGTGAATTTTGTGGGAAAAAGTTTCGTACTAAAGATAACTGTAAAATCCACATGACGACCCACATGGGCGAGAAGCCTTTTTCTTGCACTTTTTGTGACAAGACGTTCAGTGTATACGGGAAATGTAAATCCCACATGAGGACGCACAATGAAGAGCAGCCGTACTTCTGTCAAACCTGTGGGGAAAGATTTACTCATAAACTGAGCCTCAGATTTCACATGCGTCTCCACCCAGGTGAAGAAGGGACACCTGAGCAGCTTTCATGCCCCACCTGTGGCAGACGATGTTCTCATCGGTCTCATTTACTCATCCACATGAGAACCCACACAGGGGAGAAGCCTTATTCATGCCAGGTTTGTGGGAAAAGTTTTAGTTCTGACGGAAACCTTAAAGTTCACATGAGAACACACACTGGGGAGAAGCCTTATTCATGCAACTTTTGTGGGAAAAAATTTAGTATTTTTGGAAACCGTAAAGTCCATATGAGAACCCACACAGGAGAGAAGCCTTATTCATGCAAGTTTTGTGGGAAAAGCTTTAGTATTTTTGGAAATTGTAAAGTTCACATGAGAACCCACATTAAAGAGAAAACTTTTTTTCCTGTAACACCTGCAGAAAATGTTTTCCTTTAAAGAGACGACTCAAAACGCATGCACACTAAAAAACATGTTCAGCTGATGTTTCTCTAACTTTTTTTGGTTTATCTCAGTGCCCACTGGACATTTCTTTAATGTGTTTAAACATTGTTGTTCTGTTTTTTTATATATTTTTGGTTCTAAAGCTAAGAAAGACTCTCAGACTGTTTACCATTTTATTGTTTGTTTGTTCCTAACCCTGGTCCTTGAGGAACACCTTCCTGCATGTTTTGGTTCCCTGCTCCAGCACATGTGATTCAGTGATTTAATTACTTCCTCAAGTTCTGCAGAAGCCTGTTAATCATCCCTTCATTTAAATCAGGTGTGCCAAAGCAGGGAAACAACTAAAACATGCAGGATGGTGTTCCTCAAGGACCAGAGTTGGGAACCACTGGTTTAGGTGAAGTGAAATTTGACATTGTTCTCAAGACTCATTACCAAGGTGAAGTCTTGTCTCCCTTACAGAGACCTTGAAAAGGTGAGTCATGATTTTATTTGATCTCGTTATTGTACGGATCATAGGCATCGCAACCATTGTATGTGAAGGGGACATGCCCCCCCCCCACATTACAGATGCTTCTGATGCTCGTGGTACAGATTATTACAATTTTAATAATTGAATGAAAAAATATTGTAAATATTGCAAACTTCACCAAAATGCAGCAAAAAGTTTCAGTTCAAACGATTCTTCATTGCTAATAAAAAGATTAAAATTCTTCCTGTAGGATCAACATTAAAACTAATTACAAACATGGAAAAACTGGGAGCCAGAATTAGAGGTGAGCGTGCACCATTCAGGAGGTAGGGGGTCTGGGCAAGCCTTCCAAGATAATGTAATCGATCAATCCATCTATCGATCATCTTTACCCGCTTCTTCCTTTTCAAGTTGCGGGGGTCACTGGTGCCCATGTCCCGCAGTCACTGTGCGAGAGGCAGAGGACACCTGGACAGGTCTCCAGTCCATCACAGGGACACATAGAGACAAATAAACATTAATTATTAAATTTAATTAAATAATTTACTTAATAACAAACAGAACAAGGCCTTGCTCAAGGGTCTTGAGTGGGACAAATGAGGGTGGAGGGTGCAAAGGTAAGAACTTCATCTTTTGCACCCACTTTTTAATGTAACAGTGTAAGGATTTGAACCGGCGACCTTCAGGTCACAGACTCACCTTCTCTAAACTGTCCTTCCCATAAAGAACAGACATTTAACATGGGTTAAAATAACAATTACATTATTTTTGATTTGCACAGTTTCCATTTATTTTGTTTATTCATTTGTTGAACAAAGTTTGTTGTAAGTTGTTTGTGTGGAACTGCAAAAATAAATATCTCAGAAAAATGAAAATATGACTCTTTAACATCCACCTTCTTCTTTCAGCTTTTCCCTCTTCAGGGGTCTCCACATTTTGTCCTCCTCCTCCGTCTCACTCTGTCCTCTGTCCAACTACCTCCATGTCCTCTCTAACTGCATCCATACGTCTCCTCTTTGTCTTTTTCCTGGCAGCTGCATTTCTAACATCCTTCTACCAGTATACCCACTGTCCCTCCTCTGGACATGTCCAAACCACTGTCCCTCCTTTGGACATGTCCAAACCACTGTCCCTCCTCTGGACATGTTCAAACCCCTGTCCCTCCTCTGGACATGTCCAAACCACTGTCCCTCCTCTGAACATGTTCAAACCACTGTCCCTCCTCTGGACATGTCCAAACCACTGTCCCTCCTCTGGACATGTCCAAACCACTGTCCCTCCTCTGGACATGTCCAAACCATCTCAGTGTGTCCTCTCTAACTTTATCTCCCAGTTGTTCAACCTGTGCTGTACCTCTGATGATCTCATTCCTGATCTTCTCCATCCTTGTCTCTCCTAAGGGGAACCTCAACATCTTCATTTCTGACACTTCCAGTTCTGTCTTCTGTCTTTTTGTCCATGTCTCTGTCTCCAGACCATACAACAGAGCTGGTCTCACCACTGTCTTGTAAACTTTTCCTTTGACCTTTGCTGACACCCTTTTGTCTCAAATCACTCCTGAAACTTTTCTCCATCACTCCATCTTGCCTGGACTCTCTTCTTCTCCTCTTCACCACACTCCCCATGTTCCTGGACAGTGGACCCCAAGTCCTTGAAGTCCTGCACCTTTGTGACCTCTGCTCCTTGTAGCCTCACATGTTAGACTGATACCATGTCATAACTGTCACAGTCTAACTACTTGAGTTGAAAGTCTAATAAAATGTTGTTTTTCTGACTATTTTAACCTGTGATATAAAGTTTTTTTTTGCATGTTGTTGTGAGTTACCCAGAGGCCTGAGGAGGAGGCCCGGCCCGCCTCCTCTTGTACGCTATCTGGAGGTTCTGCTCACCCTAGCTTCTCACGCTCCCTCGTTATCTAGAGTTTTTTAAGCTTCTCACGCTCTCATGCTATCTCAAGGGTTTTTCACAGACTTTGAGTCCAGGTGGGCATGTTGCTGGGAGATGTTCCCATGTAATGCAGAGAGTATTAAAGTGTGACACTCAGAATAAGAGTTGAAGTCTGCTGTGGATCCTGATCCGATGCCCAGCCTGAATTGATGTTATCTTTTTACTTGGACTGAAACGGCTTCGCGGTCCGGTGTCACGGTGAGGGGTTTTACATCAATATCTGATTTGTACTGAAAGTACTTGTACTTTTTGCTTTGCTGAATCTGTGGCAGTTTAATAAATGACACTTATTATCCTAGCAGAACCAGCTTGTGAGTTTTTATTCATTGCTTCGACCTTTCCCCGAACCTGTATTTTGTTTAAGATAATTTCATAGAACACTACTTAAATAGAAAAATAATAATTGCTCCAGTAATCTGTAATTCGGATCTGAAACATTTTTATGAACAGTCATTCCTCTGGGATCTGTCTCACTTTGACTGACATCATATTCTGTTAACTGATGATGTGAACTCCGCTTGGAACTATTTTCATAATAGTTTCATTTATTTCCTGAACAAACATGCTCCTTTACGTCAGTTCAGAATAAAGGGACGAGACAGCCCCTGGTTTACTCCAGAGCTAGCTGACCTCCTGCACAGGAGAGATCATCTTTGGGCCGCAGCGAGAAAATCTGACTCAGACACTGATTGGTTGAGTTTTCAACAGATGAGGAATAAATGTACAACTGCTGTCAAAGCTGCAAAACGCAACTATTTCTTATCTCAGACCTCCAAAAATCTAAATGACCCTAACAGATTCTGGAAAACCATCAAATCTCTCTCAGGCACCCCCCAATCATCTGACCTCCCATCACAACTTCTCATTAACTCTGTTCCTGTGTCAAATCAGCACGAGATCCTGAACTGTCTCAACAAACATTTTGTTGCTTCTGGTTCTTTATTTGACACAGTTACTAATGGAAGATCAGCCACTTCACTTAATAACCAAACTTCTACAAATCAAATCCCTCCTACAAGTCAATCCTCAGTTAATCACAGCTTCTCTTTTTCTCCATTCTCAGTCAGTGAGGTCAATAAACTGTTAAAAGATCTTGACCCTAAAAAATCTGCAGGTCCAGATGAACTTCCACCTTATTTCTTAAGACTGGCTGCTCATATCATCACAGTCCCTGTGACCCACATCTTCAATCTCTCCATAAGACAAAACTCCATCCAGACACTTGGAAAACAGCCTTTGTTCTTCTTTGCTGAAGGGAGGTGACCCCACCTCACTGAACAACTATGGAGCAATCTCTAAACTCTGCATTTTAGCCAAGGTTCTAGAAAAACTGATAAACTCTCAAATCAAAAATTACCTGGACTCATTTAACATCTTACCTCCAAATCAATCTGGTTTCAGGAAACAACACAGCACAACCACTGCTTCACTGAAGTTCTTAATGACGTTGTTGAAGCACTGGATGCTAAGGATTATTGTGCTGCACTTTTCTTAGACCTGTCTAAAGATTCTGACTCTGTGGATCAGAACATCTTGTGTCATAAACTCTCAGAAACTGGTTTCTCAGATCACACCATTGGTTGGTTCTCTAACTATCTTTCAGACCGAAGGCAATGTGTTCAACATAATGGTACTTCCTCCAGTTATTTAACAGTCAACAATGGTGTACCACAAGGCTCAGTCTTAGGACCCACCCTCTTTACAATCTATATACATAATGTAGGTCAGAGCATCCCTAATGTATCCATACATTTCTATGCTGACGACACAGTTGTTTATTGTCGAGCTAAAACTGTTGCTAAGGCTTTCCAGCTTTTACAATCCACCTTTAACATCATCCAGACAGATTTGTTCCGCCTCAAACTTGTCCTAAATGCCGAAAAAACCAAAGGGATGCTTTTTTCAAATAGGAAGTTGGTCCCAGCAGTTCTTCCTCTGATCTCATCCTCAAATGGTGTCCCCATTGAGTTTGTTGATTCCTATAAATATTTGGGTTTCTTGGTCGACTCACATCTCTCTTTTAAGCTCCATGTGGAAAACTTGGTAAAGAAACTGAAAGTTAAACTGGGTTTCTTTTCCAGAAACAGATCCTGTCTAACTCTGAATGTTAGGAAACACCTTGTATCTGTGACTTTCCTCCCCTCCGTTGATTACGGTGACATTATTTACATGAACGTTCCTACAAGAACCCTGCAGATGTTGGATGCTGCAGATGTTGGATGCTGTCTATCATGGTGCACTAAGATTCATAACTGGCTGTAACTACCGTACCCACCACTGCACCCAGTATTCACTGGTTAACTGGTCACCATTAACTTCACGCAGACTCTCCCACTGGTATATTTTCATCTTTAAATCACTTCCTGGTCTGCTGCCTTCATACATCTCCTCCTACATGTCTCTGCGTGAGTGCAGCTACAGCGTGCGCTCTCAGGACATCATTACCTGCAGTGTTCCCTCAATGAGGACTGAACTAGACAAGAGGACCTTCTCCTACTCCGCTCCTGTTTCCTGGAACATCTTGTAAAAAGATCTGAAGCTCTCGACCTTTGACCTCTCTAAGTGGCTTTAAGAACCTGTTGGACTCCTGGCAGGGACCGATGCAGACATGTTCCTGTTTTTAGTTTTCTACATTCACGTCAGAATCTAGCTGTTTTTGTTACTTTTCTTTTTTAGCCATCCTATTTGTAAAAAAAAAAAAAATCTGTATGACTTTTTATACCTGTCTATTGTTGTCATCACTCTTTTTTAAATCAGGTCTCTCTTGTAAATGAGTCCTCGAGGCTCAATGGGATGTACGTGTCTAAATAAAGGTTGAATGAAAAATCGCTTCAGTAAATAGACGCAGCCATTAGCTTTGTTAGCTTAGCTTGTTTACTAAACTCGATTTCCGGTTCGGTGTAACGTTCTTTGTTATCCGGGCTCTGCCCCGAGTCTCACGGAGCTCCTGGTGGTTGTGTGAGCAGGTTCAGAGCTACGTACCGACTCTGTGCAGCTTCAGCTCAGGTTTCCAGCTGACATCCAGCAGTCTGCGCTGACGGTCGAGCTCTTCTTCGTACCGCAGGATCGTCTTCTCAAACTCGGAGAAGATTTCTGAGGCAGCAGCGCTCAGTCTTTCACCGATGAACTCTCTCAGAAGAACAACCGAAGACATTTTTACTACAAACGGTTCTCGAGAAAAATAAAAAACACGTTCCTCCACAAGCAGAGAACCCTTCTCTTCCTCCAGCCGAGTTTCTTCTTCTTCGGTCTGCCCGCGGCTGAAACACCGTGTCGTCAGCGCCCCCAGCGGTCTGCAGATAAATTGCCTTTAAAAATCTGAACATTTAAACCACATTACTGTAATCAAAAGTAGAAAAACACAGTTATGAATGTTTCAACTGTTATATATTATTTTGTTTATTGTGTATTTTTACATCGGGATATGTCGTTCGGTGTTCCAAGTCAAATTATTTGAATCAGTCCTAGTTTTCCTTTTTATTCTGTTTGGCAGATCATCTTAAAACAGAACCTTCTGGAGCTTATCAAACCTGTAGTGTGACACAGGGTGTGGTAGTGTATACTGTTCAGACTGGATGAAAAATAAAATATGACGCGTTTTCCTCTTTTATATTGAACTTATCTGTTGACAGATCTACAGAGGGGTGCACTACGAAGCCAGATTTCCTGTGTAAACAGCTGAAAGTCGGCGTTTTCTGTGTTACGGAGGATTTTTTTAAAGTGCTGCCTGATCACTATGGCAACAGATGCTGAGCTCATCACCTGTGCGTTTCAGTTACTTGTCGGTCAGTAGTAAAAGCTGTTCCTGTTGACTGTTTTTAATTAGATGGAAAACTGCCGTGTATTTAGATACCAATAAAGTTGTGTCTGCAAAGTAAAACAAAATGACAAAAACTCAGATTGTTAAAAAATGTAGACGTCTTTAGTCAGTCTGGGCCTTGGAATTAGAATTATTAGCATTTTAATTTTCAATTATAACCACAAACAAGCTTTCTTCAGTCATATACTTATGTCATATAAGTCATATTAAGTTATACTTAAAAAAAAAAATATATATATATATATATATATATATATATATATATAGCCTTTAAGGACTTTTATCTTAAATTAAAAAAAAATTCAAATTATTATTTAATTAACTCAATGTTCTGCTTAGGAAACTGTAATGCACCATATTCCTCTGCTGACTGCCACCAAAAAGCTGCACAACAAATGAAAATATAAAAAGTGAAAATAATGTAGCGGTTTTACCATCTGAACCAGAACTACATCAAGTTGTCCAAAACACTGTCTCCCTTTTTAACATTTTGTCTTGATTAGCTGAGACGTCCAGTAAAGGCTTAATATTTAGTTTGTGCACCAGAGAAGGCTACAAGTTAAACATTTAACAGAATTATTGGCACATTATGGGATGGAGTCGGAGCTAAATAAATCTCTTAACTGTGGAATAAAAGCATCTTTCTGTCCCGATCTAAACAGCAGAAGGTTTATTTGGAATTCTAACAGATTTTGTCAACGAGGAATTTCTCTCTCCTAACTGTTGTTTGCCTGTTAGGATCTTCTATTTTACTAAAAGGACGTGTTTTCCTTCATCCATGAATTTTTAAGGTGAACGGAGCCGTTCCTTTATCAGTGACCTTATAATTTGGATCTGTGTATTCTCTGAGTGGAACAAGCGTTGAATGAGGAGCTCAGAAACACCAGACCAATGCTGTAGGAGCCGTTTATCTCTTCGTAACGTTTTAGACGAGTCAGGATGAAGGTGGAATCTGCGACGAGTTCATGAGGGCGTCCTCAGGACCGTCGCTCAGGTTCTCAACCTTCTCGCCTGCAAGCTGCCATTTCCAAAAACTAGATGCTCGAAATGCAGCTGAAAATCGTGTTTTCTCACGGTTTTGAAGGATTCTTTCCACCGACAGCGTTGCAGAGCCCCCTCTGATACCTCAGAACCATCTCACTGAGGGTGTCTGACGTTTCCTCAAGTGTTACTGCCAAACCAAAAACAAAGCTCTAGCTTCTGTTTCTCCTTCCTGTTGGACGGATCATCACATCCAACATGTTTTTTTGGAACCAGAGTCTGTGCACACGAGATGTGGAGCTTTAAGCCCCGCCTACAATCATGGTGCACACCACCTGCCTTTTAACCATGAAACAAGACCCTAGACTTTGCAGCAGTAAAAACTTTTCACTTGACGTTCTGCGTGTCAATGAGCTGTTTTTTGGCACATCACAAAGCAGCGAGAGTAATCTAAACATTCAGACAACAACACGACGTTTAAGAGCTAATTCAGAGCACCAGCGATCATGAAGAAGACGAAACAACTCAGTCTGACTCTTTAAACCTGTTTTTCAGTCTTTAAATACGTCCAGGATTAACAGTTTCTCAAACTTTGCCCCACGCTCTGGGAGTTGAACTCTTCCTTTCGGTGCAAATTTCTGTCGGATCATTCGGTGAAACTTTTCTCCACCGTGACGACGGCTCAGCCCGTGTGGACCTTCATGTGATGTTTTAGCTGCGAGTTAAAAGTGAAACTTAGTCCGCAGGTTAAACAGGAATATGGTGTCTCCCCCGTGTGCAGCCTCATGTGAATCTTACAATTGGCGTTCCTGCTGAACGTTTTCCCACAGAACGCGCAGGAGAAGGGCTTCTCGCCGGTGTGGCTCCTCTCGTGGATGGCGAAACTACTGCGGTGGACGAAGGTCTTGCCGCAGGTGGAGCAGCAGTGGCGCCATTTGTCGGCGTTCTGGTTCTCGCCTGTGTGGAGGCTCATGTGAGCTTTGCAGTTCCCGTTGCTACTGAAGCGCCTCCCGCAGACTTCGCAGGAGAAGGGTCGCTCACCGGTGTGGCTCCTCATGTGGATGACTAAATTATTACGAGAGGTGAACTTCTTGTCACAGATGGGGCAGCAGTATTGCAGTTTGTCAAAGTTAGGGCTCCGGACTGTGTGGACCTTCGTGTGACTCACCAGAAGTGAGTTGTCGGAGAAAGTTTCCCCACAGATCGAGCAATAGATCAACCTCTCAGCTGGTTCAGATTTATCAGAACCGTCACCCTGGTGACCGTCCGTGTGATCAGTCTTCTTTGATTTTTTATTTGATCCCGAATCAGAGTCAAGGTTCTGTGTTTGGTCTAGTTCTGCTTCACTGTGGTCACTTTCTCCAGCCATCACCAGAACCGTGTTGGCCTCCTGCTTCAGTTGGAGCTGATCCTTCTCTTCTTTGACTCGCTGAGGTTCTGGTTCCTCCCATTCTTCTTTAACATGTACAAGTTCTGGTTCTGAGTCCTCCTGATCATCACTGATCTGTGGAGATTCTGATTCTGGTTCATCCCATTCTTCTTTAATGTGTACAAGGTTTAGTTCTGGTTCCTCCTGTTCATCTTTGACCTCTGGAGATTCTGGTTCCTCCTGGTCCAGACTACAGTTCCTGTCCTGGGTGCAGAGCTGCTGGTCTGTGAAAACCAGCTCCTCCTCGTGGACCGGTTCCTGCTGGAGGTCTGAGGACAAACAGACAAAACAAAGAGGTTGAACATTAAAGGGGCTGCAGCGATCAGTTGATGTTATCGATACATGAAAACTTTTACTTCCTAAACATTTTTATTTTTTTAACTTCCTAAATATTTTTATTGAAAACAGTGGTCCTTAGTTTATCATGGAGGATCCGTACCCTGAAGCCCCGCGATATGTGAAAAATCACAAAGTAGTAATAGTAGACTTCCACGCTCTGCACGGAGAACAGCTGATCAGCTGCAGCAGGAAGTTTATCCTGCAGTTAAATAATTTAAAATAATTTATTTTAAATAAAAGTTTCATGCTGATCTTGCAGCTCATCCATCAATCAGCCAATTGTGTGTCACGTCCAATCTTATAAAAAAAAAACACGATAGAGCGAGTCCGTGATAAACGAACCGTGAAGTAGCGAGGGACTACTGTAACTGTTTTTCTCTACGTCACCAGTCTGGACCGCTGAGTTCCAGTCGCCAAGCTGAGCTAAAAAAACGTTCAAAAACTAAAAGGGTCCAAAGTTTAGAAATGCTTCAAGCACGCTGATAATAAAAGTGTTGTCAGAACGCTCCATAAATGAGTATCTCAGGTCTTTAAGCATCGATGAGGCACACAGGAACTGGTGACATGAGCTGACAGGAAAAACAAAAACCACTGAATTCTTATTTCTAATCTGATTAATTGTGAACTCTGACGTCAGATTATCCGTCTGATCCTTTTTCACTAAATTTACCTTTAAAACCTCCTGAAACATCTCAGCAACTAAAAAACCATTCAGATGACCTGATGTTGGATTAATACCTGGATTAATGAGCATGAACTTTGGTCTCCTGAGATTCATTGTCCTCATATGAGGACATTTTTTTTTTTTAGAGAACTGCTTATCATAGAAAGCTGAAATTTATTTTTTAGAGTAATTGAGTCCAGCTACAGGCAGGAGGTGGAACACCTGGAGACATGGTGCAGGAAGAACAACCTTCACATCAATGTGAAGAAGACGAGGGAGATGGTCGTGGACTTCAGAAGGAACAAACACACACACACACACGCCCATGAGGACCTGCAGTGGAAGTGGTCTCCAGCTACAAGTCTTGGGTGAACATCAACCTCAGCTGGAGCAACAACACCACCAGCCTGATGAAGAAAGCTCATCAGAGACTCTACTTCCTCAGACGGCTGAGACGAGCTGGTCTGGAAGCTCAGTCCTCACCTCCTTCTACAGGTGTGCAATGGAGAACATCCTGTGCTCCAGCATCAACGTGTGGCATGGAGGCTGCACAGCTACAGAAAGAAAAGCTTTGCAGAGAGTGGTGAAGGCTGCACAGAAGATGTTGGAGTCAGCCTCCCCACCATCACAGACATCTACACCTCCAGATGCAAGAAGAGGGCCACCTGCATCATGAAGGACCCCACCCACCCAGCACACACACTTTTTGCCCCACTCCCCTCAGGAAGGAGGTTGAGGATCATTAAGTGTAGAACCACTAGACTGAGGAACAGCTTCTACCCTGAGGCTGTTAGACTCATGAATCTCTAACCAGAATAATCACTGTGATGTCATTTTAACTGGTGATCTGACTTATATGTGCTGCTGATTATCCATGCTGCTGATCTCATGCTGCTGATCTCATGCTGCTGTATTCATTCGTACCCATCTGCTCTGACTCATGTTCGTGCTGCTGTTTTTCGGTGTTTTAAACTATTTTGAATCACTAGTGTTTAACGTACATCTTAGATATTTTAGCCGACTGTTTGGTGTTTGTTGAGCGTATATGTCCCTATTGTTAATATTTTATATCGCTTTATAATGTAGCTGTTTTTTTTTAATATAATTTTTTCCATTTATTTTTCAATTTTTGATTTCTTATGATTGTCCACTGTTGTCATCACTCATTGTTTAAATTAGGTCTCTCTCATAAATGAGTCCTCGAGGCTCAATGAGACTAACCTGTAGAAACAAAGGTTGAAGGGAAAAAAACCTGGTACTGGGACCATCCGGTGGGTCCAGTAGTTTAATATACATGTTGGACATCTGGTTCCCCACCAGCTCCACCTGTTTTACCTTTAACCTTTTATTTTATTCAGTTGTTAGGCTGATTGGTAACTCTAAATTGTCCCTAGGTGTGAGTGAGACACTGAATGGTTGTTTGTCTCGTTTGTCTCCAGGTGTCCCTGTGATGGACTGGAGACCCATCCAGGGTGTCCCCCGCCTCTCACACAGCGATGACTGGACATGGGCACCAGTGAACCCTGCGACCCGAAAAGGAAGCAGTGGGTAAAGATGACGGATGGATCTGTCATTTATTTTATTTGCTTGTGTTCTCTTCTTACTTGATTTGGTTCGACTCCCAGTCATTCCCACATGTCGTGGTGTCTCTGAGCAGGACACCTAATCCCCACTGCTCCACCTCGGTGTATCTCAGGTGCGATGGGTTAAATGCAGAAAACTAATTTCATCATCGTATAGAAACATACATCTCAGACTTCCCTCACTCCCTTTTATGCATCAAATCACTACAAATGAACAAGAAATCTAACTTTATCACATCATTATTCCTGTAAATAACCAACTGAACATATGTTTACGCAGATGTGATAATATTTGCATCCCTATTTTTTATAAAATACATTTTAATTGATGTTTATTGTTAATGCAACATGATGAATTCATGCCACCTTTTATTCTCTGCTTCACTCTTATTTCTTCTGCCACATAAAGAATATGAAACAAATTCCCAATGAAATAAAGAAAAACAATTATACCTTTTATATTCTGTTATCTTCATTAATCAAAGTTTAAAATTAAGTGTATGTCATCCACCCTGCCAGAACATATCTCCCTTGAACAAAAAGACGCGTTTTGATTCATAAAACTTGAAATCTTGAGTTCCTCCTCGGTCTTTATCTTTTCGTGTCATCGGAGCAGCGGGCCTGAACATAAACACCGCCGCTCCAGGAAATACACGCATCCATTAGCCTTGTTAGCTTAGCATACTTGATCGATGCGACTTTTACGCTTCCTTGTTGGCTTCCTGTATCATTTCATGCGCTGAACTGCGTGCAGAGCTTCAGCTGGGTTCGCTCGGGCGGTGTCGGAGCTACGTACCGGTTCTGTACATTTTTTATTCCGGGTTTCCAGCTGAAATCCAGCAGCCTGCGCTGACGGCCGGGCTCTTCTCCGAACCGCTGGGTCGGTTTTTCCAACTCGGAGAAGATTTCTGCAGCAGCGGAAGAAAGTCGATCACAGATCGACCCTTTCAGAAGCTGTAGTGAAAATATAGTTAATGAAAACAGGGTACTTATTCAACTAAATAAAGAAAACAACAATATTTTAGGAGACAAACTGAAACCTGTCTTCTTCTGTGTTTTAATTGCGGCTGTAAAACGGGACGGTGCTGCGGCGCCATCTTTCGGCCTGGGGTCGATCAAGACGATCAAACTTATTAAAACAACAAAACTTCAGTTCAAACCAACTGTGATAAAAGCTCTTAAACTGGACTGACGGTTCTCTTTGAGGTTCAAATCTGCTCATTTGAAAATCCAACATGGTGGCCGTTTTTCAAGATGGCTGTCAGAACAAGTTCACTTGTGGTCCTTGATCAGTTTGATTGATCTTTACAGCACATTTTAGTATTTTCAGTAAAGATAAAACAAGCAAACATCACATTTGAAAATAAACTTAAAATCTATAAACAATATGATAATACTGTCAGTGTGTATGAAACAATCAGCAGACACGAAATGATTCTGAACATTTAAAACTGAGCTCATCGTCCTTCAAGCTGCAGATCATCTGCTTAGTGCATAAAAACAAGTGGTAGTATCTGACGGTTACTCCTTTATGAGGGCGGCTTCATGCATCGACACATCAGAACGTTTCATTGGATTCACTTTGAATTGAAACCCTCAGCTGGTCCAGCTGTGAACATCAGGACTGATACCTCTGCTGCTTCACTCTAAACATTATTACATAGAAGTAATTAAAAAATAAAAGTTATAAAGCACTTTTCAGGTGACAGGTGGGAAAATATTAATTTTACAGTATAGAGTGTTAAATTTTTATCAAGCACTAAACTCTGAACAAGAAAATTAAATAAACATTCAAAATGATGAAAAATATTTACCTAAGACTTTTGAAAGTGAAAAAAACTATTTAGCATTTTCAGAAACCAGAATCAACTGAAATGTTCATATTCGGGAGACGGTAAAGGAAGGCATCGAACATAAAGAAAACAAATTTTAAAAAAGGTTAAAAAGACGAGGAGCTTCTCACTTCAAAGGACAGGAAGTTGAGCCGGGTGGCAGATTGTCCTCTCACTCCTCAGAGGTTCGTTAGGGTCTTTAGTCTGACTCGCTGCTCTACATGAATGAAGTGAGTGGTGTGAAACTGACGGGCCTGAAGCTCCATCTCCACAGAGGAGGTCTCACATTTCAGCTTCAGTCAGTTTCACAGAGCGGTCGGACTAACGAAGACCTTTAACAATTATTGTGAGGCGTGAGAGGACAATCTGCCATCCAGCTCAACTTTAAGAACTCCACTTCCTGTTCTTTGAAGTGAGAAGCTCCTCGGATGAGAGTACAGAAGTCCAGTTTTCGTCTCTAAGCTTTTTTTGGATTTACCACGTCCTGGCTGAGAATCTACACCAGCATATTTTAAGAGGTCTAACTTTCAGAAAGCTGCAGTGCTGCACCGTCACGGCTTCCTGCGCGTGAACAAAGAGCCTAACGAGCCTCCGTTGTGGAGAGGGCGAGGTAATCAGCATGTGAATCCAGCTCCAGGATGGAGCAAAAGCATCTTCCTCTACAGGAGCCCAGTTTTATGTCCTCCATTATGCAGCTGCTGATTATTCTGCTCTCCCCCCGAAGAGTCGGTCTTTCCCGGCTCAGAGAAGCTTCGGTCCCATGAAGTGTAAAGTTTGAATAAACGTCTTCTTTCCTGTCGAACACAAACACGTGGGTCCTCTGCAGAGCATCCTGGAGGTCGGTGGACCTCAGAGTCTCGAGCTCCGGTGTTGTGCCAAACATTTCTCCGTCAGAGGTCTGAACATCCCTCGTGCACTGATCACACACACACACCTCTTTGTGGAAACAAAGCAAATATAAAGGTTTTAAATGAAACACTGTTGTGTGTTAGTACTTGAATGAACTCATATTTAGAACCTCAAGAGGAAGTTTGTTATAAATAAAAGATCTGGATGGTGATGTGGTATCATGATAATTCTGCCTTAATGTGACGGTGGAGCAGGAGTGATGGAGCAAAGACGGTTTGTCATGAAGGACGGCAGCAGGTCAGGAGACGAGGTGGGAGTGACGTCTCAACACATCACAAACATTGACAGGTCATCAGCTCCACTAACTGTTTCCATCTTCAGCTCAGTCTCCTGAAAACTTAGACGTTAATACGACGATTAAAGGATTTTAAATACATTTGTTGTTTATTATGACAAAGCTCCAACATTTCAATATTTATGGTCATATTGTCCACCAGCACCCGGAGTTCAGTTTATTTAATACATTAATTCTTCTCAAGCTTTGACCTGCGAATGAAAAGACAATTCAAATCAGAACGTTGTTTTTATTCTCGACTGTTCAGCGTGGAGCCAGAAGTTTTTCGACCGGGGAGAGGCTGCGAGGACTTCCTGAGCACGGTCTCCTTCAGCTGTGATTGAAGCTAAACCTCCACTCACAGCTCGGGCGGAAACGTGTTGAACTCAGTCAAATTCAATCGGACAAAGTTCGGGTTCAGGAGAGTCTAGGTCAACAGAAGAGGCCAACATGTGCTCCGTGATTCTCAGGTAGCAGCTGGTCACAACTCTAAACCCATAAAGACCTTTATACGCTGAAGTTTGAAGCTTGGGACAAGACATTAGTCCATTTTTAAAGTTCAAGGAGAAACATGAGGTCCAGGAGTCCGACCCCAGCACTGGGTTCAGCTCGTGTCAGCTGTTCTCATGCCTCATGCTGTTTGTCTTTAGCTTGCCCACCACAAGCTCCCCCGCCTCCCTCCAAATAGTCGCATCGTAAGAACTTGTTCAGAAATAATCTGCCCTAACTCGTAATAAAAAAACATCATCCTTTCTGATGTGCACGGACATGGAGCTACAGTAAACTGACGTTCAGCGTATTTCTCAAGATCAGAGATGAGAGGAAGAACGAGTGACGGCATGAAACTGCTTTAATGTCACGCTGCAGAGACACGGATAGTAACAACCAGCTGGTGTCATTTCTTAAACTAACTACTCACGGTGGTGATGTGCTGAAATAAAAACTAAAACTGTTTCTGAAGCAGGCGACAAGCTGCAGAAACAGCTTCGCTCATCAGCGAAGCTCAACTAGAAGTCGTGAGCAGACAAATCAAAACTTCATCATTTTACACACCAGAAGACTAAAGGAAACCGTTTCACTGGATTTGGTTGAGACTTGATTACAGAACTTTAACAGCAACACAGAAAACTAAAAATGTTAGTTTTATTTATATTTGAACTAATCCTTCGGCTGATTGCTTCTTTCATCACATCAAAACATGCAAAAGATTTTCAGGGACAGGAACTCACAAAAGTTACAAAAATGACTCATTTTAATCCATGAAAGAAGTGATGCACAAAATCTCTTCAAGTGAACTCATTTTATTGAATGAAATGAACTAATGTTTCAGGCAGCTTTTATTTTTACACTGACCCAAACCTCTGGAGAACTTTTCTGTTGTTTCGTCTCCAACTTCAAGCTGGAGTTTAACGACACCCCGAGGTAAAAACACCAGGTTTGATGTGAATTATTTTTAACCTCCACCTTTCTTGATGTATCCTGGATGATTGAACTGGAAGAAATCTGGCAGGGAGGAATATAAAACAAAAGTGCAACAAGTCGTTTGCTAATAATGATAAAAAGCACATTTTGATTTAAATTCAGCCTTTTGTCTTTTTGGCAACATCGATTAAAGCAGCTCTGATAAAACTGAATGAAGTCAGGCGTCCTGCACTCTCCTCTTTTTTCAGTTTCACCCCCGTGTCATGTTTCACAAAGAGCTCACAGAACATCCGAAGGATCCGACTATTAAAAGGAGTCGGTCACAAGAAGCTAACGAGTGCCCAGAACAAGACCCAGGATGTGGAAAAACTATGAGAATGAAATAAGAACCTGAACAACTGATGAAAAGACGAGACGGAAGAGGATCAAGGAAACAGCCAAGAAGAAGAACTCTGAAGGACCTGCAGGAAGTTCTGGTTGGGTTCCAGTTTTACAAAAGTTATAAGACTAAGCTGAACACAGCTCCTCAGACTGAAGAAGTCTTTCGGATGAAAGAAGAAACGTTTCTACTTTTTCAAAAACACAAAGTTTGTTTTCTCAGTCATCCAGGTATATAACAACAAAAAAGGTTGAATCATGTCATCTGGACTTCGTTTTTTATGTTAAAAAGAAACGTTTCGCCCCTCATCCAAGAGGCTTCGTCAGTCTGAGGCCTAGTCCAGATGACATGATTCAACCTTTTTTGTTGTTATATACCTGGATGACTGAGAAAACAAACTTTGTGTTTTTGAAACCATTAGTGAAAAGGCCAGACTTCAGGGGTATCTGAGGCAGGCTTGAAACACAAGAGTCAGGGTGGCTTCTGGGTAATACCAGATGGCTAGGCCTCAGACTGACGAAGCCTCTTGGATGAGGGGCGAAACGTTTCTTTTTAACAAAAAAACGAAGTCCAGATGACATGATTCAACCTTTTTTGTTGATTCTACTTTTTGTTTTGTTTTTTGAACGTCCAGAGGACCAGACTTAACTTTTTTAGATCCTAATCAAAGTCTAGATCTAAATCTGATGACAAATCAGTCGGGTCACCTGTAGAAGGCGGTGCACTTAAGATCTCCGCACAGTCGGACACATTTGGATCAGTTTTGGCAAAGAAGAACAAAACTGATCAAATCAAAGTTTTGCTCACTGACAGACTCCTAAATGAAAATGCAAATAAAATCAAAAGTGCTTCAGCGAGGTGTTAGCAACCATCTTCGCACATTTCTTTTAAAAACAAATTGTTTTGTTGTTCAATCATGAGTGTAAGTAAAAATGGTAAAACAAAAAAATAAAAAAATGGTTAAAAATGTTTTAAAATACTTTATGATTTGATCTCATTTACATCACTAAAACCCAATGTTTCAATGTGGAAGAGTACCGGTACTTTTTAAACACATTTAACCATTTTAATCTATTAATTTAAATAACCCGTGACATTTTTCCAGCATTAAAAACAAGTAACAACTGCTGATAAATGCAAACAATAAAAATTATTATTACTGACACGCTTTAACATTTATACATCTGTATAAATGTATAGAGATAAGTCATCAGAAAAGGATAATTTTCCTTTCTAAACAATGAGTCTGTGTTTGGCTGCCAAAAAGTTCAACAACCCAGGTGTAAAATCAGTTCAGCTGTGGTTCTTATGCAAATGTAAGTCTTATAAGTCTTAACACTTTGATTATTTTTCCTCTGTTTACAAGCTCTCCTGCAAATTTTCTCTACACATTGTAGATCATATAACATCAAGCAGTGTGGCCCTTCATGTGATGTTTTAGCTGCGCACAAAATGTGAAAGTTTTCCCACAGATTTGACAGGAATGTGGCTTCTCGCCTGTGTGGATTCTCGTGTGGCTTTTACAGTTCCCGTTGTTAGTAAACTTCTTACCACAAAATTTGCAAGAATAGGGCTTCTCACCGGTGTGGCTCCTCATGTGGACGGCAAGATGATAACGGTAAATGAACGTTTTGCTGCAGATGAAGCACATGTGCTGTGTTCCCCTGGAGTTCTGGTTTTCAACTCCGTGGATGCTCATGTGACCGCTGAAGACTGCTTTATGTGAGAACGTTTTCCCACAGATTTTGCAAGAATATGGCTGCTCACCTGTGTGGGTTCTCATGTGGATCCTACAGTACCCTTTGCTTGTAAACTTTTTCCCACATACCTTGCAAGAGTAAGGCTTCTCACCAGTGTGGCTTCTCATGTGGATGATTAGATAGCTCGGTTTGAGAAACTTTTTGCCACAAGTGGAACAACAGTGCCGCCGTTTGTCAATGTTCAGATTCTCACCCGTGTGAATTTTCATGTGATATCTGAGTCTGTCACTACAAGTGAACTTTCCCCCACAAAGTTTACAAGAATATGGTTTTTCACCAGTGTGGCTTCTTGTGTGGATTTTACAGCTATTGTTACTAGTAAATCTTTTTCCACACACTTTACAATAAAAAGGCTTCTCGCCGGTATGCTTCCTCATGTGAATGACTAATTGACTCAGTTTACTGAACTTCTTGCCACATGTGGAGCAACAATGTTGAAACAGGCCAGGGTTATGCTTTTCTCGTGAGTGAGTCTTCATGTGAGATTTGAGGTTTGCGTTACGAGTAAAATTTTTCCCACAAGTTTGACAAGTGTATGGTTTCTCACCACTGTGGATTTTCTGGTGGGTTTTACAAGTCTTACTGCTAACAAATGTTTTTCCACACACTTTGCAGGAAAAAGGCTTTTCACCAGTGTGGCTTCTCATGTGGACGACCAAGTTAAAGCGCGTTGTGTATTTTTTCCCACAAATTTTGCAGGAAAAGGGCTTCTCACCTGTGTGGCTTCTCATGTGGATGACTAAATTATTTCGAGCAGAGTACCTTTTATCACAGATGGGACAGAAATGCTGCAGTTTGTTTGAGTTTGGGCTCCTAACGGTGTGGGTGCTGAGGTGACTGATCAGAAGTGAGTTCTCAGGGAAAGTTTCCACACAGATGGAGCAGGGAAACAACTTCTCAGATGTTTCAGGTTTGTCTGCGTCGTTACTGTGATGACTGTCATCGTGATCCAAGCCCTTCAACGGTAGCTGTGTGTTTTTGTTTGATCCTGAATCCAGATCCTGGTTATCAGATCCAGCAGAACCTTGAGAGATGGTCTGCTCGCAGTCTGGTTCTGCTTCACTCTGGTCACTTTCTCCATACAGAACAGTCACCAGAAACCGATCGGCTTCCTGCTTCAAGTGGAGCTCCTCTTTCTCCTGATCTGTGCAGAAGTTTTCATCTTCATCTTTGATCTGAAGTGGTTCTGCTTCCTCCTCCTCCTCCTCTTCCTCTTCTTCTTTTATCTGTAAAGATTGTAGTTCTGCTTCTTCTTCTTCTTGGGGGTCTGCATGGACAAAATGACAAAAGAATGAGGTTAAATGTTCAGTAGAAATGTTCAAATGATGAACAGTAGATATAAAAACACTGTGCTGATATCAGAACCAAATTCTGACAAATCCAAGCTCTGTTGTTGAGGGGCATGAGCTCACCAGAGTAACTTTGTTTTTTGTTTCTGGATTTAACTTTGTTGCGACAACATGTTTTGGGCCCTGTTTACACATGAACCATCTCTAGAAACGGCAGCATTTTCCCATGTTGATAGTGGAAAAGTTGCAGATTCATGCGGTAAAGGTGTGTTCGTTGAATCTTGTGTAGTTTCCATGCCACGTCACTGGCTGTCGCTGTGGTTTTTCTATTTAAACAACATGCTCGTGTTTGCAGATACTGAATATGAAAACAGTTGTATCCAAAAAGTGAATACACAAAACTTTGTTTGGACCAAAGATGAGGTTGAGTCATGGTGAAACATGGTGAACAGCACAAACAGCACTCTGCACCTCTCCATAGTTAACAATGTTCATTACTCGAGCAGAAACTGCAGCTGTCCGTAGCGCACATGCAAGATTTCAGACCAGCTGAGTACTTCCAAAAAATTCCAATCCGAGACCTGGATTCAAAAAGCTTTGGTTTCAGAGAAAATGACCTCTGTTGTGAACACGACGTCTGAACTGCAGCAGAAAAACAACGTGCACTGAACAACAGCTGTGTAAACCAGGCCTTGGGACTGTTAAACATTAAAACTTTTCTTGAACATAGTCTTAAAGTTTGCAAATGTCTCAGGAAGGATTCTGGCCCAATCCTCTTTACAGAAACTCTACAACCAACAGTTCCAAAGCATGATGTTTCCATCTCCGAGCTCGTCTGTGGCGGCAGTGTCCCTAAGGTCATACTCAGTAGGTCGAGGCGAGGAGCTGGATTTAGTTCTCATGTGACCGCAGCACACTGACCCAAACCTTCCCTGAATCATTTAGATTTTCTCAGGCAACATTTGAGAGGAAAAGGCTTTTTGTGTTCACAGAAAAAGTTTTAGATCTTCACGTTCGGCTCATGAAAAAAAATAACAGCAAAAACAAAAGTGTTGCCTTTATGTTTTTGTTCAGTGTACTTTAGTTAGCTTAGCTAACCTCCAAAACTTGTGTGTTTGTGTCGACTTCCAGTGTTTGAGATCAACTGGGTTGTTAGAAGAACATAGTCCCCATTAGACCAAACCTGAAAATAGTTAAACAAGAAGTCTGCCATCTTGGTAGGACACATGTCCAGTGTTACAGGTGCACAGCAAGAAGAGTTGGATTTGTCAATTTGTTCGTAAATTCCAACAAGGGATGTTGAGAAAAAGTGCTGTACTTGGAATTGATCCATATGAACTCGTTCCCAGCAGTGACTGACTTTGAAATCATGATTTTTATCCATGAGAAACACACAAACATTGCAGGAATTGTGTGCATTAACATCTTTGGACACTTCTAGCCAAAGCAGCAGAGGTTGGGTGAAGGATGTGATGATGACACTGAAAACAAACAACAAATCTGCTCACAGGCAGAGCCAAGTATGTTGTTTGTCCACGAATGAAACTGAAATATGTGTCTCTACATTTAATAATCTGGGATTAGTTATTATCTCTACATTCACACACTGCAGCTGAAGTTGAAAACAGTTCCCTTCAAACACCGGGGAGGGTCTCCAGTTTCAGCTTTACAAAATGTACAGTGGAGCCTTAAATGTGATCCTGATCTAACACCACACCTTCCTGCAGGTGACCAGAACATCTGTGACACAACAAAGACCGAGGCCACCACTTCTTGTAACTTTAGTTCAGCTAAATATTTTCAACAACAACAAACCAGTCCTCCCACTCAATACCATTTTAATCCCAACTCCTGGAGTAACACGCCTCAATGCTCCAGGAAGTCTCAGCAAGTCCAGAGTCTCAGACGAAGATCATCTTACGCTGAGAACAGATGAGAGTTTAGGTCAGGGGTATCCAAACACTTTCATCTGTGGACCAAAACTCTCCTGATGAAGGACTCGTGGGAACAAAAATGTGAATTTAACTCTCAATGTGAACAATATTTTGGAGAAAGGACAAATTTACTAATTTTGGTGGAGAAAGTTTTAAATTGTTGTAGATCCGAAACATTAAAGCCTCAGAAACACTAAGATTATTTTATTATTAATAATTATTATTTTTATTAAAAAGGATTTGATTTATTAGATTTGTTGGGTCTATGTTTGTTCTTTTCTTGTGTTTGGAAAGTTCTGATAATCGTCCAGCTGTCAGTCACTACAACAGATTCATAGCAGGTTTGATAAAGTTGATCAACTTGTATGTAGATGACACCACGTTATATTCATTTAAAAATGTCCAGCTTCCTTCTTGATTATTTTATCAACTGCAACATTTAGCCCAGTTTTATGAATCATTATCCAAAAGTCTCTTTCCGGTATTTAATCACGTTGACATAAAAAGTTACTCAGCTGTGAGTGAACATTTAGCGATCTGTTGCAAGTCTTGTTACAAGTGACCTGACGCGACCAGTCAACCGACCCAGTGGGCTCGTCAGCTGATTGATCAGCAAGCTGCCCCCCCACACCCACCCCCACCTTTTCCTCTGACAACATGGTCGAGGTTGAGCATCATGAAATCTTTGCAGTCAGAGGGATTTCATGAAAAATATCTGAAAAACCGGTTAAACGTCAGTGGAGAACATGTAATTCAGACTGTTCTGGCAGTTGTCGATGGGGGGGGGCAAGGCGCTCGGTTCTGTTGACAGAGTGGGGCGCCCTGCTTGTATAATGGAAGGGGAAACACTGGAAGCACATCGAACTGTTTAAAGAAGTTATTTTTAGTTTGACCAGTGTTAAGGCCCCCATATTAAAACAATTAAAAAAGGTTAAACAAGATCAACACCTGGACTTGTGTTCTGAGCTGAAGACGTTCGTCTTCATCACGTCTCAACGTCTGCAGCTCACAGCTTTAGAGAACTGCATGTGCTCTTAGATCTGCTGCAGGTTAGACTGGAACTACTCGCCCTCACCGTGGAGGCTCGTTAGGCTCTGGTTCTGTTTGGGTCACCTGCACGAAGGTGTGAACTGGACTGGAGCTGACCTGGGATCAGGTCTAATGCTGCATTGTAAGTTAAAGTTGAACTCGGAGACCTCCTCCTCTTTATGTGATTGGACGTAAATGTTTCCCTTCACCTCCTCTCAGGCCATCTGTCCAACATCTGGACCTGCTGGTCCTCCTCTTTTCTGAGGATCTTCACCGGCAACACATTAAAACATAAAGTCGTTGATTTAGTCAGAATGACAAACAGAAAGATCACCTGTTAGTTCAGATCATTTACACATCAGTTTTGCTTTAGGCCGAGAACTTTGTAAAAAAAAAAAAACTCACTTAATAGCATTAACGTGCTTATACATTTTTAACAACAGGAATACTTTAGAAACACAGATTGTCTTGAATGTGCGGTATTTTGATCAGGCAGACGCGCGGCCACCTCCATCCACCACAACACTCAACCTGGCAGCCGGTTGATGTCAAACACCGTGTTCTACTTCAGTTTGTTCCCAAACGGAGCCTCACGGAGCTCCTGGTGGTTGTGTGAGCAGGTTCAGAGCTACGTACCGACTCTGTGCAGCTTCAGCTCAGGTTTCCAGCTGACATCCAGCAGTCTGCGCTGACGGTCGAGCTCTTCTTCGTACCGCAGGATCGTCTTCTCAAACTCGGAGAAGATTTCTGAGGCAGCAGCGCTCAGTCTTTCACCGATGAACTCTCTCAGAAGAACAACCGAAGACATTCTTACACAGAAACTCTAAAATATTCAGCTGAGATGAGAAAGCGTCCGTCTTCCAGCAGACAAATAACCAGCTCTTTTCTTCTACTGGTTCTTTGGAGCTTCGTGGCGGCGCGTTGGCGCCACCCAGCGGCCAGTCTTTAAACTGCGCCACTTTAAAATAAGTCTCAACATAAACAGTCATAATAAACAAACAGGAAGGCCTTCTCCTTCTGAGGGGTAAACCTGAGTGATTGTGTGGACAAAAACCAACAAAGTCCATGCTCAATAATCCAGGTATACAATCCAACATTTTTCAGTCAGGTCATCTGGACAGTTTATTTTTTTGCTGAAACCTTTCACCTTCCAAAGACACCATCTTGGCACAAACATAACTGGTTTGTTCCACTTTGGAGTAAGCTGTTTGGGGGAAGAATCAGTTTTGTGTTGTGAGTTTCCTTGACTGATGAAGCCTTCTGGATGGAAGGTGAAACGTTTCAGCAAAAAAAAGAAACTGTCCAGATGTTCTAGAATTTGTTCTAGAATTGCGCCGCTCCAGGTGTCTGCATGTTGGAGCAGCTCTGTTACTTTCATTCTGAGATTTTGCTTTTGGAAAATTTAATTCCTCTTTTTCTGGATGTAAATCACATTTTTTGGATGATTGTTTCCTCTGGTATCAGATGCTGTGCAGCTGGAAGGATTTTTACTGAAACTTTTTAGTTTTGGACATTTGTTATGATGCGTAACCATGGCAACAAGGCAGTTTTCTACAACCAGCAGCTGATTAACATCTCAAAAGCTCAAATAATATCTCAACTACAGCCCCAAATCTCAAATGAGTTGAAAGGATGCTCTGTGGACGCATTCTCATCTACCTGCCAGCTGTGCTCGAGTGCCTGACCACTGAGATCCTGGAACTAGCAGGAAACACGGCTCATGACAGCAGAAGGACAGGATCGTCCCTCAGCACCTACTGCTGGCTGTCCGCAGCGACGAGGAGCTCGGCAGACTGCTGGGAGGAGTGGCCATCGCTCTGGGAGGAGTTCTGTCCAGCATTTGGGCGGTCCTAGCATGCTAGCTATTATTGGTATCATATCTGGCGTCAACACTATAAACGGAAGACGTAAACAACCTTTAAGGTTGTGATAATTCCTACTAATTATAACCGATTTTTAAAGTGTTCAAGTGTAAAATGTTATATACATACCAAATCATTTTCGAGCAGCACCATGGTTTCTATCTATACACACTGCTGCTGTAGCTTCAACTCACTGCAGAGAAGCACACGTACGACAAGCTGGACTTCTGTAGCTGAAGATGTTTTGCTTCTCATTAAATAAAAACAGCGTATAGTTAAAGTCGAGGTGTTCTGTGGGCTGGATTCACATGCAGATTGCTCGCTCTCTCCTCACAATAAAGGTTTGTTAGAGTCTTTGTTATTCTGATGGCCCACTCTGGACACATGAAGGTTTGGATTGGAGGCCTAAAGCTCCATTATAGTTTTTTGAAAGCTGTCAGTCAGTTTCACTCCAATCAAGACCTTCATTCATGTGTCCAGAGGGGCTCATCAGAATAACAAAAGGCTTTAACGAACCTCTTTTGTGAGGGGAGAGAGAGCAATCTGCATTTCACCCAGCTCACCGAACACCTCAACTTTGTAACTCAAATGTTGGACCGGTGGAACGTTTAAGGACCAGGATTGGACACCGCTGGTTCAAAGCCACCACATCTGAATTCACACTAAAATAAACACCAAATGTTTTGGTAGTAGTGTCCTAAAATGTTAACACAAATCTAATTAGTGTAATTTTTTCTAACCGAGTCCAGTTTGGCAGCAACGGAACATTTATTGTAAAAAGAAGTTTCATTAAATAAAAAAGCAACAAACACTTTTAATGTTGGTGAGTTTATTTTCCTTCTTCACACTGTGATGCACTTTCACATGAAGAATTACCAGAACTTTAAACCACCTGACCAGTGTCAATATTTTTTATTTTTAATGCAACTGAAACTTAAAAAGCATGATGGAGCTTTACAGCCACACTAAGAAGAAAAAATAAATAAAAGCCATAAAATTCAGAGAATAAAGTCAAAGTCATACAAAAGCAACTCTAACATGCAAATAAGAACAAAATAAAATCACAGGCCAAGCGCCCCTGATGGAATAAACACGACCGACTGCGGTTTGAAACTGGCTTCCAGTTCAACGTTCTGAACGAGACGCGACATGAAAATGTCCCGAAGTGGCTGCTTTTTATTGGATGAGTGACATTTAGTTTTATTAAAATCTGCCCGGTTGCTGACAATTATTGTAATAAATCTGTAGTTGTCACAAGAATCTGAGTGTATTTCGCATTTGACCACGACGCTGACAATGGCGTCAGAGCACCGAGGGGGCGAAGACACCGTGGGAACATCGCTGAACTGGACCACACAAACATGTGGGCCGACTCGAGCGAACGTTAGCCTGCAGCTTCAAAAAGTCCCAGTGTAAGCGAGAAGGGTGACAACAGAGTCCATGCTCAATAATCCAGGTATATAATCCAACATTTTTTAGTCAGGTCATCTGGACAGTTTCTTTTTTTGTGCTGAAATGTTTCGCCTTCGATCCGGAAGGCTTCATCAGTCAAGGAAACAACAAAACTGATTCTTCCCCCAACAGCTTACTCCAAAGTGGAACAAACCAGTTCTGCTTGTGATAAGATGGTCTCTTTGGTACGCCCCTCCTCCACTGCCGGCCCTCTTCCTTGTTGACAGTCTTGTCTAACTGGTTGAAAACAACAAAGTCCGTTTCAGCACAAAAAAAGAAGCTGTCCAGATGACTTGACTGAAAAATGTTGGATTTTATACCTGGATTATTGAGCATGGACTTTGTTGTTTTCAACCAGTTAGACAAGGCTGTCAACAAGGAAGAGGGCCGGCAATGGAGGAGGGGCGTACCAAAGAGACCATCTTATAACAAGCAGAACTGGTTTGTTCCACTTTGGAGTAAGCTGTTGGAGGAAGAATCAATTTTGTTGTGCGTTTCCTTGACTGAAGAAGCCTTCTGGATCAAAGGCGAAACGTTTCAGCACAAAAAAAAGAAACTGTCCAGATGACCTGACTGAAAAATGTTGGAAGGGTGACACTTCCTCCACTCCCCTTCACGACATTTATTTTATTTAGCTGTTAAAGTGTGGCACCAGCTGATCAGTTTACTGACCAACAACAACTTCATTCATATTTTCACCCTTTAATGATCAGAATCAGTCCCTGCAGTAGAATCTGTTAATTACAGGGAGTTCTACACCAGAACTCATGAACATTCATCTGAATGAAGAGAACAAAGTTTGAAGTTTTATTACAAAAACAATCAAACTAAAAATCAACAACAATAATAAACAAACCATAATAATGAATCAATCAAGGCTTAATTCTCTTATCTGAGGCTAAATTGACTCTTTGAGCAGGAATTATTTCAGTTTTAGACGCGCATGAATTTAGACAAAGTTTGACTATTTTAATAAATAGTTTACTTTGGATTTTGGTTGAAAGAATTTATTTAATCTGATCACATAAAGTCATTTATCGTCACTGCAAGCAGGAAATGATTTACCAAGTTGCATCGGCTTCAAATAGCAGAACCAGACCAAGAGTTGCATCATGTCACCAGGTTCTGCTCCTTACCGGGTCAGTGTTGATGGCACCACTCGTCTTTCTGGGGGTCTCTGGTGGATCAGACCAGAGACACCATGAGGAGGACTCACCAGGAACTGCCTGAGGTATCTGACCGTCACTGTGACAGCTTCAGGGTCTGTGAGAACAACAGCTGATGAGAAGGTGCACCGTCCATCACAACCTTCAGCTGAGAGCGTGAGTCTTGCAGTGAGGACATGTTTCATCTTCTGCAGTTATCTAAACTTCTAACAATTGTAATAAGAGTGACATGTTTATCTGCTCAGGAGTTGAACGAGCGGACCTTGGCACTACGACCAGGATCAGGTCCACAGACGAACCGTCTTCCGGTTCGGGACCGGAGACAAACTGCTCAGTTCGGGGGTCCAAGGCGAACTGTTTTTACACAAAGAGACTTTGTGCAAAACATCAGCTCTGAGATTGTTTTGACTGACACGGGACATTGTGTCTCCCCGCTGAAGAAAACAGCTTCCAGCTCAAAGAACTTTTTCACAGGTGTCTCTGAAGAACAATCACTTTCTGAAAAACAGAAATGTGTTGTTCACATTGTAATATCTGACATGATTTCATTATAATGATTGAAAACAACAATCAAAATTATTCATGTTCACACTTGTTAATCAAATAAAACAAACTTCATTAATGGTTCGTTTTTCTTTCTTAGAAACAGGAAGAAATAAGATCAGCAGACTGTGGTTGACTCCGTGTCCAAGGACAAAAAATGTGTGGAAAAACATCAGACATTATTCAAAAAAGTTCAATCTGGTCCTCTGGACATTCAAAAAAACAAAAAACAAAACAAAGCAAAAAAAGATATACATATATTGTTTTTTGTTTTTTTGAATGTCCAGAGGACCAGATTGAACTTTTTTGGATTTTTCTACCTGGATTATTGAGCATGCATCAGGATATCAGACATTATTGAAGTCAGATGTAACTTTAAAAAACATGATTCATGGTGAGTCTGGAAGATGAATAAGGGTCAGGGGTCGTAGTTAGAGCAGTGCAGCTTCATGCTACACAACTAATTTGCAAAAAATAAAAACTCAAGTTAAATACACACATTGATACACACAGGCGCCGCTCCAGGTGTCTGCATGTTGGAGCAGCTCTGTTTCATTCTGAGATTTTGCTTTTGGAAACTTTAATTCCTCTTTTTCTGGATGTAAATCACATTTTCTGGATGATTGTTTCCTCTGGTATCAGATGCTGTGCAGCTGGAAGGATTTTTACTGAAACTTTTTTAGTTTTGGACATTTGTTATGATGCGTAGCCATAGCAACAAGGCAGTTTTCTACAACCAACAGCTGATTAACATCTCAAAAGCTCAAATAATATCTCAACTACAGCCCCAACTCTCAAATGAGTTGAAAAGGATGTTATGTGGAAGCATTCTCATCTACCTGCCAGCTGTGCTCGAGTGCCTGACCACTGAGATCCTGGAACTAACAGGAAACATGGCTCATGGCAGCAGAAGGACAGGATCGTCCCTCGGCACCTACAGTTGTCTGTCCGCAGCGACGAGGAGCTCGGCAGACTGCTGGGAGGAGTGGCCATCGCTCTGGGAGGAGTTCTGTCCAGCATTCAGGCGGTCCTACAGCCCGGGGGAACTGAGAGGTCAGCCGAGTCTGGGTGGACGGATCGGACGGCATCTGCAGCCAGTTTCTTAGGATCCACTGTGGGATGGACCTTTACAAGAGATCCTTCCTGTCTACAGCATCAGCATCTATAACATCTCTTAATGAAATGAGGATAACGAGTTACAACAAATAATTTCCCTCTGGGATTAATAAAGTATTTTTGAATTGAATTGAATTAAAGCTCGTTTAGCTCCTTAAACATTCAGTTTTCACAGTTTCTGAGAGTTCCGTTTGATTTACAAAGAATAAAGAAGTAGTTTTATTTAATCTCCAGTCCGACCTGCAATAAATGTTTCACAACACCTCTATTGCTCCTGCACAATTTGCACAATAGTTGGTGCAACTTTTCTCCACGTTAAACAATCAGCTGCTCACGTTTTCATGAGCCTTCATGTGAGCTTGGAATTGGACTTTGCACAGAAACTTGCTTTCACAGCTCTAGCAGGAGTAAGGCTTTTCACTTGTGTGGATCTTTGCGTGACTTGTGAGATTACAATGGTAAGTAAATCTTTCCCCGCAGATTGTACACGAGTACGGCTTCTCGCCTGTGTGGATCCTCAAGTGGGTTTTTAGGGTCCCTTTGCTAATAAACCTTTTTCCACACACGTTGCAGGAGAAAGGCTTCTCACCCGTGTGACTTCTCATGTGGATAACTAAATTACTGTTATTGGTGTACATTTTGCCACAGGTGGGACAATACAGACATTTGGCAGTTTTTCCATTTTTAGTTTTCTTTTCACTGGTGTGGCTCCTCATGTGACTCGTGAGGTTCCAACGGAAAGTAAATTTTTTCCCGCAGGTTGTACACAAGTATGGCTTCTCACCCGTGTGGACCTTTATGTGACTTGTGAGGTTCCAACTGAACTTAAACTTTTTCCCGCAGGTTGTACACAAGTACGGTTTCTCGCCCGTGTGTATCCTCATGTGGATTTTTAGGTTCTGTTTGTAATTAAACCCTTTCCCACACACGCTACAGGGGAATGAATTCTCATCCGTGTGACCTCTCACATGGTACTTGAGGGCATAACTAGAAGCAAATGTTTTTCCACAGGTTTGGCATGAAAACGGCCTCTCGCCCGTGTGGATCCTCATGTGGGTTTTTAGGTGCCCTTGGTAATTAAACCCTTTCCCACACACGCTACAGGGGAACAGATTCTCACCTGTGTGACTTCTCATGTGGTTCTTGAAGATCTGAGCATAGACAAACGTTTTCCCGCAGGTTTGGCATGAATACGGCCTCTCGCCCGTGTGGATCCTCATGTGGATGACTAAAGTGGAGCGGGCAGTGAACACCTTGCCGCAGGTGAGACATAAATGCTGCCGTTTGTCATTTTTCCTTCTTTCGGCCATGTGACCTTTCATGTGATGTTTGAGGGGTTTTTTCGTGTTAAAACCTTCACCGCAGGTTTGACAAAAATACTTATTTTCATGGCTTCTTATGTGCATGCCCAACCGATGAGGACGGCAAATCTTTTTGCCACAGATGGGACAAAGTGGGCGTCGTTTGTTGGAGGTTAGGGTCTCACTCGCAGCGATGCTCGTACCCGTGATGTGTTGTGACGCATCATAAGAAGTTTCCCCAGAAGCGTTGCCAACATGTTGCCTCTGATTTCTGTGGATCTTGCAATGTGCCAAAAGTTGAATCCTTTTTTTAAACGCTTTTCCACAAATCTCACAATTTACTGACGTTTTTCTGCCTGTTCTGATAAGGAAGCCTCCAGATGATTCAGGTTTATCAAAACTGGTATCATCTGCATTTTTCTTTGACCCTGAATCCTGGTCTTGAGGTCCAGCAGAACTCAGAGCAATGAGCTGCTCTGTGTCTGGTTCTCTCACCATAAACAGATCAGTCCCCTGCTCCAGGTGGAGCTGATCTTCCTCCAGACTGGTGTAGAGTTCCTGATCTTCTTCAAACTGTGATGGTTCTGGCTCATCTTGGTATTTGAAATGTGAAGGCTTTGGGTCTTTCCACTCTTCTTTGATTTGTAGATGTTCTGGTTCCTGCCATGCACTATAGATCTGCAAAATTTTTAGTTCTGATTCCTTGTGATTTTTTAACTCTGGAGGTTCTGGTTCCTTCTGGTCCAGGCTGGAGTACCTTTCCTGGTTGCAGAGCTGCTGGTCTGTGAGGATCGGCTCCGTCTTGTGGACCGGTTCTTGTTGAAGGTCTGAAATGACAAAGAGGTTAATTAAAGCATCATCATTTCTTGAAGGAATGCGTTTCACCCACAGACTTTCATTTGGTTTTGGTCAGGTCAGCCTGTTTGCTGACATCATCATCTTGCATTAGATTGACTAAAAAAAGCCAATTTATTCAATAAAGACTGCGTAAAAAACCCTCTGAGCAGGAATCTGGTAGATCAATTGATTACTGTTAATTTTATCATTTACAAAAAATAAAATAAAATTCCATAAAACACTGAGGCAGAAAACATGTGTTCTGTTCTTGTTCTTAAACTTTACAGTCCACCACCTACATGAAGTGGCTTAGTGTGTGTTTTGTATTAGAATTAGAAAAATTACAAAGTTATTCATTTTGTTCTGTTACTTGAAAATTATGATTGAAATAATTGTTTGAAAAAAGGGGCAGATATAATAAGATTTTTTCTTATTTCTGCTGCCTTTCATTTTAAATCTTTTGTATCTTTTTTTATATTGTTATGGAATTGTTTTGTACTTTTTTAAAATGAATAAACTTTATACCATACCATACCTACAATAGAAGAATTTTAATTTCCTGTCATCAGTTGGGTCGTTAAGTTTGTGTTGCGCAGCGGTGTCAAAACTTTCTGTCACTCAGTCGTTTAATTTACATTTAATATTGGCCGCATTAACTTCAATTCAATTCAGTTTATTCATATAGAGCCAAATCACAACAGAGGTCGTCTCAGGGCACTGAACTAAAGCTGCAACTAACGATTATTACAACGATCGATTAATCAGACGATTATTGTTTCAGATTAATCGATGAATCTGCAAAAAACAAAACAAAAATGTTTTAATTACCACCTCATATTCCAAAATTTGACTGACATAGCAAATCGCACAAAAAACCAGGTTGCTACATGACTATTCTATTCTGTTAGCTAAATATTGAATAATTAAAAAATAAAGTTAGTCAAATAGCTTAAATAAAAAAATAAAAAATAAATATACACACACACACACACATATACATATATATATAAATAAATATATATATACATAGATGGCAATTA